CCAAGCTTTGTCGAAGCTCCTGAATCGATCACCCAATCTTCTCCAGGTCCAGACTTCAATGTTGTTCCGAAGGCAAACGCTTGATGAGCTTCTTAGAATTTTCCTTGTTTGGACACTGATAATATTTGTGAGGGTCGTCACAGATGTAGCATTTCAATTGTTTCTTATCTGGCTAGTATTGCCCTTGCTATTTCTGCTTCCTTTCTTCTTTGTCAGTAATGCTGATGTTTGACTTACACTTGTTGAGGCATTGTATGTATCCTCCATTTGATATAGTTTGTTCTTTACATAATCTGACGTTAGTGCAATCTGACTATTCTCAATCGTAATTTTCAAAGGCTGGAACTCAGGCGTAAGGCCTTGTAGGAGAAGGGCAGCGAAAAGCTCATCATCCACTTCTTTTCTCTTAGCTCCTGGGCTATTGTCAACACACCTGTGACGTATGCCCGTACCGTCGAAAATTGTTCCAATTTTGGACTGACCAGTCTTGATAGAAGGCGGCAACGATTATTCACGCCTTTATCTTCAAATGTCTTGCTTAGATTTTCCCAACCTTATTTAGCTATCTTCGCAGAGCGTTTGTGCACAAGACATTCAGGTTGCAACATCATACCTATCTTTGCTCTAGCTTTTTTATCTGCCTTTACAGCTGCTGCATCAGTTTTGTTTGGCTCTTTACTAATGTAGTCCCATAGATCTTTCCACGTCGCATAATTTGAACTGCCCTCTAGTTTCGCCATTGGTGGTATGGTTAAACCATTATGACTTGCCATTTTTGATGCTTGTCTTGACTTCTACCAGGGTCTAAATTTTCAACACCCTTTGCGATGTTCACATAATACGTGTACAGGCCTATTGGTGAACCCCAATTCTGGTCCACCAATGTTTCAATTTGATTTAAAATGGATACTATGCATATGCATACACGATTAAATAAAGATTTTAATAACTTTATTTATGTTTTTAAAGAACACCAAAATAAAAGTGAAGTAAAAAAACAATAGGCATTGACAGCTAATCACAAAGAAAAACATTGTGTTAGAAGAGTAAAATTGTTTTATAAAAAGTATTTTATAAACAAGTAAAAAGTCCTTGCTCTAACAATATCGGCGTGTGCTCCTGTTGCGACAACTGCATAGGGTTGATTTCGGTGAACACCCGGATATGCCTACGTACATCGAGCACGCCATGTCCTTGGCTCATCAGTTAGCGGACATCGGCATGGTGGTACTCGTAGGAAATTGCTAAAATCTTGTTAAGTGGTCTCCCGGCTGAGTATGACACTCTTGTTTCGAACTTGGAAACCTACTGTATCTCGTCAGAAGAGCTGAAAAGTGAACTGGTGCGTGCTCGTCTCATTCAGGAGGCATAGGGGAAGACAGCCACCAACGGTAACTCTACTACGACATACATCACAGGAAAACTTAAGTGTTCGTATTGTCATCGTGTGGGCCATATCAAAACGAAATGTTTCAAGTTGAAGCGAGATAAGAAGCATAGGGACAGCACAGCAGCATTCTTCGCCCAGGATCGGACTGACATATTTCTTGACAGCGGAGCATCATCGCATTTGTCCAATAATCAGAATGTATTGTGTAACTTAAAGGACATTAAGAAGCAGTGCATTAGTCTGGCTAATAATGAGACCATGTCTAGCTCGAAGATAGGACGCATTGAATATCATTATGAATGGACAGATGAGAACATTGAAAATGTAATGTTAGTTTCTAGATTATCCGCAAACTTACTATCAGTTTCTAAACTGTGTGAAGATGGTCATTCCGTTCTGTTCAATAATAATGGGTGTTTTGTTTATGATAGGGGTAATAATATTAATAAAGCGCCAGGCAACTATATAGCCATAGCGAAATGTGTTAATGGTATATACAGACTATCTGGGGAAGTCGCCGGGGTGGAAGGGTATATTCCTAATAGGATGCATTCTTTGGACCTGCGACCTAGGCAGGTCACACCGAGTTCAGCAGTTGCTGTCTCTAAGCCAACCATCACCGTGCTTTGGCATTATCGTCTTGGACACATGCATACCGCAGGTATGAGTAAGTTACGGGATGCATGGAGGGGGAGAATACCTAGTCACCTTCACGGACGACTTCAGCAGAAAGAGTTTTGGAAACATAATGAAAAACAAATCAGAGGTATTTAATTGTTTTATACATTTTAAAACTATGATTGAAAAACAAAAAAATTCGCCTATCCTTTGCCTTCGTACTGATAATGGTGGAGAGTATACAAGTACTAAATTTACTCAATATTTAAAAGAGCATGGTATTATCCACCAAACAACCATTCCTTATTGTAGCGCACAAAATGGCGTTGCAGAACGGGCTTTTCGTGTCTTATTTGACAAGGTGCATTGCATGTTACAGCATTCAGGTCTCGGCAAACGATTTTGGGGAGAGGCAGTAATGATTGCTTTATATTTATAAAATAGATCTCCCACGTCGGCTTTAGCCGGACGTATACCTGACGAAGTCTGGTCTGGCAAAAAGGTCAACCTTGGACACCTTAGGGTTTTTGGATGTACTGCATTTTCTTTGGTACCTGAACATAAGAGAGATAAGTTAGACGCAAGGGCAAAGGAATACATATTTGTGGGTTATTGTGATGCTTATGAAGGCTATCGCTTAGCTGATCCTACAAACCCTACAAAAGTTATAAAATCGCGAAATGTCGCTTTTATAGAAAATAGATTTTATAAACCCCATACAAACCCTTGCAAGACTTGTCCCATGGTAATATGTTAACTTATAATTATGTTGAGAAAGAGATCTGTGATAATGGTAATGTTTCTAGTCAGAATAATAATAATGAAATTGAAAATAATTAAACTTTGTATAATGAAATCTTAAATAATGATAGTTTAAATGATGACATTTTAAATAATGCTGCCAGTGATATCTATAATAATAATTTGAATTCTACTGACAGAAGTTCATTATCAATTTCAGATGGAGGGTCCGTTAAATACTGCACAGGAAGCGACGACTCGGATTCGCCAAGTGCCGGCGGCTCACAAGCAGTGAGCCTTCCTCCTGTGGAAGCTGAAAGTGAGGCAGCGACTCGTCCTGAGACCGTCACTGCGCCACGACGGTCGTCTCGCTCCACGCGCAATGTACTCCCCGCGAGGTATTTAGACTATGATTTGTCTTTGCTCGCCCACGGCCCGTCTCCATCAACTAACGAACCCAATACCTATGAGGAAGCAGTCAATAGCCCTAACAGCCAACAATGGCTTCAAGCCATGAAAAGTGAGTATAATGCTCTAGTTAAGAACAATGTATTTGAACTAGTTGATAGACCCATAAATAAAAATGTAATTAAAAGTAAATGGGTTTACAAAATTAAATATGATGCTGCTGGAAATTTGATCGTTTTAAATCTAGATTAGTGGCCAAAGGCTATAGTCAACGGGAAGGCATTGATTATAACGAAACTTTTGCACCTGTAGTCCGTCACTCTACAATGCGTCATCTTATTTTGTATAGCCAATCATTTAAACATGAACATTGATCATCTAGATGTAGCAACAGCTTTTCTTAACGAAGACATTGATGAAACTGTATATATAGAACAGCCTACTGGTTTTTGTAATGATAATAGTAAAGTTTGTTTATTAAGAAAAAGGATTTATGGTCTTAAACAAGGAAGTAGAATGTGGAACTGTAAAATATATATGCCCGTTTTCACTAACCTATAAGAAAGCATAGCTTAACTAGGAGTCACTTAATATTAGGAATAGCTTAAACAGATTTTTCATTTCACCAAACCTGTAGCATTAGGTTATGCTTTATTAAGCATTTGCTTAAGTAGGCAAAGTTTGTTTATGATTTTGTGTACTTCAGTTGGTCAGCTTGAGAAAGTTGACATTGACGTTAATTTCGGTCTCTTGGTGGCATTTTCGAGTTATTTAAAAAGTTTCGAGATAAGTTAACTATAATATATAAATTTATAATATTTGTCTAAAAATGAGTTCAACACGTAAACGAGCTCCCTACTTCAGTGAAGAAGAAAAAAAATGTTTTTTTTTTGCGATTATTACAAGAAAAAGGAGGTGCCATTATTTCCAAAGTTACTTGCCATCATTTGCTTGCAAATCGTAAAAAAGAAGAGGAATGGGCCAATATTACGAACGATTTAAACGCGAGCGGTACAGTCATGAGGTAAGTTTAAGCCCTACCTATCTTTAAACGATGTCACGAGTAACTTTCCCACTAGTTGTTTAAAAGCCCAAGAGTGTCGAGGTATTGTCGTTTTATTGCATATAGTGCTATTTATTATTCTAATATTTCTAATTTTCAAGATAAAGTAAAGTATGTTGTTAATAAAATTATGATAATATTAATTGAATTTTATTCAGAACTACTAAAATCTCAAAAAACTGTGGCAAAAAAAATTGAAGGGAAAACTTATCGCTCTCATGGTGGGTCATCAAAGAAGATGGATGATCCCGTTTTAGACTTGGTAGTGAACATCACTGGCCGTGCTAGCACAGGCATATTTTGTGTAGAGGACAGCGATATTACAACAGGTAGAACAGTATTAAAATGTATATTTGTGATTAAGAAATTATTATTATTCATTTATAATATCAGATAGGTGTACTCTTTGATTTTCATACAATATAATATATTGTATTTTTACCAGAACTCATCCAACCAAAGTCACCAACCATAGAAATAACACATTCTGAAGATAATTTTCCCGCATTAGAAAATTCTGCTGAGATCACAGCTCAATCCGAAGTATGTATTGAAACATTTCTATCTCATGCTTTCTTTGATGTATTTCTCTTGTCTGTGATTTCTTTGATATAGTATAAAAAATTAAAATATTTATTAATGTTTCATCCAGGTACCAACAGTTATAGAAGAGGCAGTAGATTCTATAGAAGCAAAACTAGATGAAATAAAAAAAATGAAAAGAAACCGACCTACATTGAATCCCAACGAACATTCAGTCCATAAGGCTGCTCGTATAAAATTCACCAATACATTAGCAGTCAAAAGATTAAAAATTGAAAAAGAAAAAGCTCCTTAATAAATTTACAGCGGGAACAAATAACTGAATAAATTAATTCAAAAATGATAAATGAAAACCTAAAAACCCATTGAAAACAATTTTAAATAAAATAAAAGGTATGTAATAAATAAAGAATTAGGTATTTTTTTTAGGTATATTAAGAAAAGAATCTGTGTGTGATAATTGTTCTTCTATCTTCATTTGTATTATAAGAAGTTATGTTATTCTTTTCAATTTGCCCATTTTCTATTATTTCATTGATATGCACTTCAGTAGGTGGCAGTTCCTCCTTGGCATCAATGCATATGTTGTGCAAAATGTCCACTACGGAAACGATTAAAACAAACCCTATAACTAGGTAGCAATTTATATCGCGCTGCACTATTTAACGCTAGAAACTTCGGACAATTATTTAAATAATGATCATCATTACAATTAGGGCATCGCTTCGGTGACGATAAATTAGAATTATTTTTATTGTGACCTTGATAAGAAACCATAGTTTATTTTAGTCGAGTTCTTGTTACTCATTGTATTATTCTGTGACAATTCAATTGTCTCAATTAAATCTGTACGATTACGCATAAATAAAAGAAAGGCATCGAAACTTATTGGCTTGTCTTTAGGGAAATTACCTTTGTGTTCTCCCACACACGGAATGTTTTTACATCAAATTTTTGTGTAATGATATAAATCAATAAAGTATCCCAGTGATCGATCGGTTCTCCGAGGAATTCTAATGAACGTAAATTCTTATTTACCTGGTCGATCAGACGCTTCAAATTGACAGAAGACTCCCTTGTCATAGGTTCGATATTAAATAAGGATGCAACATGATTTTGTATTAATAACCGTTTGTTATCAAAACGATCACAAAAAAGCCTCCAAGCGATAGGATATTTACTGTCTGATAATTCAATGGATTTAATTACCACAGCAGCAGAACCTTCTAATGATGCTCTCAAATAATGAAATTTGCTTATGTGGTAAATTTGATTATTTTTATCAATTAAACTCGAAAATGTGTCACGGAACTCCATCCACGTTTCATATGAACCACAAAATTTCGGCAACTGAATAGTGGGTAACTTAACTTTATGTTTGGAACGGGTAGAATCAATTTACTTTCTACTTTATTTTGAGCCTTTTGATAATTATCTAACATTCCCTCTGCATTAGCAAGTACATGATAATAATTATTTTCAAAATCAATTCGTTCGGTTGTTTGTAAATCATCATCGGAAGGGCACTCAATCTTCAACTGTATATCATCGTAAGCGTTATATAAAGGTTCAACCTTACCAATTCGTAGTTGCAACTTCCTGGCCTCCAGATTACTCAACGAGGATCCTTCTAAAGTCGTTAAATAAATCGCGAACGCAGTTGACCGTCTTTTAATAACGCTTCTTTTTTTGATCAAGTCTTTTTCGTCAGAATTTCTGGGGTCGACTTGGCACTTTTAATTCCTCTGTCATCCTGGAATTTATAGAGTAATAACGATTACTTATGTATTAGGCTATCTATTACAATAGGTATAATCCTCTCCTATCCTTTCTATCACCTAGGATTAGTAAAACAAATTTGAAATAATTTTACACCTACCGTATTCAAATTATATTGATTGATTTTTACAAATAATTAATACAAATATTGACACAGAATAATTACGAATTGATTGAATTAATTGAGAATAACAAATAAATAAGGCTAATATATTTCAATTAAATGAATTCATCTACTATGTCGTACAATATGTCGGTACCTACTATTGAAAATTAAAAATTATAAGTGTAAAAGTAATGATAAATTCGTTGAAAATAATTGGTAGTCAACTCAAACAACAGCATAAATAATTGATTACCATACCAAAATTTATCTACACTGCAAGTTTTCACAATAATTTGTGACCAGTGTCTTGTCGTACAAAATTACACAAATTAGTAGATTAAATATTACTAACCTTATATAAAACTCAATTTTACACCTAAAAATACCTGATTAGAGTGTTGGGTTCTTAAATTAATTTATTTTGCTCCATTTCACAAACGTTTTTATCCGTTACAATTTGAACTCTCGACCACTCTTTTACGATGCGCAATCCCCAATGCAATTACTGCGCATAGAATCGTTGAAATGCGACGTAAACAGGTTCTATATCCAATAAGTCAACTGGCGCTCAATATCTGGCGTAAATTAGGACCATGTAGGGGTCTGGTATTAATAGGTGCTAATAAAATTCACGTTACTTTTAACCCCTTACCGCATATGAATCCATATATGGACGCTAAAGTTTATGATTTTTTTAGAAGTCAATGATATAGTTTATCTTAAAAAAGTAACTCGTACCAGAACCAGAGTTTCATCGTGAAACGGAACGTTAAAAATCTGTATCTGGCAAATGTCATCTGTCACATATTTTTAAGGTTATGTGTAGCACGTGCGACGGGCTGGATGCAGGAAAAAAAGTGGTAGTTTGAAAGTGAAAAATAAATACCAAAGAGGTAAGTAATTGTTTTGAAAAAAAATCATATTATATGATCTTTGCTTTTCAAAATAAGGGAAAAGTTTTGGTTTCGCATTATTTTGTTTCTCTTGCCTTTTTTTCTCACTTATTTGAAGTTGCCAAATTTGGCTTCATATGCATTCCGGTCAAAACTATTCTTTTCATATATGGCTTGGTATGCATCTGAGGTGGTATTTATGCTTATTCCAGAAATGCACCCAGCACGCTTCTACGGCACCGCTAAGCATGTGAGCACTATTCCTGGTGATGATGATGATATTGATTCAGATTGTGATATAAGCTCAATTCGTTTACCTCCAAAAAAACACGTGATTATATCTGAGTCTGAATCGGATTTTTCTGAAGAAGATGACGAGCCCTTGATAAATTTAACGTCCAAGACAAAATCTGAAAAAAAGACAGCTAAGAAAGAGCGGGTTGTCTGGAAAAAAGGGAAAATGCCAGCTTACAATGTCATCAATTTTAAATTTCAAGGTAACACTGATTTACCGGGTAATATAAAAGCATTGGATTCCCCAGCAGACGTTTTCAAGTTCTTATTTACAGCTGATATGATTGATTGTATTACTCAGCAATCCAATCTGAAGTCTATTCAAGACAATGTAAACAAACCAGCAATTATCACAAGGGATGAAATAGATAAATTTATAGGAATCGTCATTTTTATGTCGTGTGTGAAGTTACCGGCAACAACAAAGTATTGGTCAAAAGAAGTAGGGCAGTCACAGGCTTACGAAACTATGACGTGCAATAGATTCGAATCTATCAAAAGATTTTTACATTTCAATGAACGCAAACTTTATACCCCGTGGAGAAGACGGACATGACAAATTATTTAAAATTAGGCCTTTATTAGAGATGATTCGTGAGCGTTTGATGTTGGTCCTTATAGAAGAGTTTTTAGCCGTAGACGAACAAATAATTCCTACCAAATGCCGCCATGAATTAAAACAGTATAACCCAGCCAAGCCCCACAAATGGGGATACAAAAATCAAGTCCTGAGCGGCGTTAGCGGCTTTAGCTACGATTTCGACATCTTCGCTGGAGAACAAAGCAATTCCTTTCCTTCAGATGCGCCAGATCTTGGTGTTAGCTCAAATGTGGTCACTAGATTAACATCTACAGTTCCACGACATCTTAACTACAAGATCTGTTTTGATAACTGGTTTAATAGCCCATATCTTCAAGTCTATCTTTATAAAGAAGGTCTGCTTCCGTTAGGAACTGTGAGGCTGAATCGTGTACCGAACTCGAATATACCTACTGAGAGAGAATTAAAAAAGCAAGGGCGTGGAAGTATGGCAGAAAAAGAAGCGGTCATAGATAAAGTAAAGCTAAGCCTGGTTTCCTGGTTTGATAACAAGAATGTGAATCTTCTTTCTGCCTACGTTGGTAGGCTGAATTCGCAATTACACAATTATAATATTTTATTGTGTAAATTATTAGAATAAGCGACGTAAGCTCGTTCGTGGTAGTGTAGACATGTAACACCTCCACCCGCAGATCAGCTAATATTTGAGCACTTTGAGCTTTGAGATTTTTCTCGCTTATTTTCTCTTATTTCTTTGGGATCTTCATATTTGGGCATCTTCGCGTCATCTTCAATGTCGTTGCTGGATGCTGAATTGTTCCGAGGCTGACAGCGTCTCCGGAGTATAAATATTATAGCGAATATGATGGCACAGCTTATTAGTACATAAAAAGGCATCGTAGTATGATAAAGGGTCTCGAGGTGCAATGGATGATTGATTTGCAGTGGTGTATCTACTGACATTCTCTCCTGGATGCTGCGCAGTTTTCCTAGGTCGATCGCGTTCAATTTGAAGTGTGGAAGGGTTGTAGCCGTTGAAAGGAAGAAAGAAAGGAAGAAAATTCGTTTATTGTTGAAACCACATAACATACACAACAACATTAACTAGGGCTGAATATAAATAAATATTTTTAAAAACAGGTTGCTGCGAATGCTATGTGATGCCAACGCTGGACTCAGCTCAGTATAAGCAGCAGGCAAGACCCGCTGCACTGATATTCTGCTGAGACCAGCAATGACACCACGGAGCACAATATCTATATTAATATAATATCCGTAATTGATAATAACACACAATAAATATAAATAAAAATGAAAAAAAAAAAAAGAAAACGTATATGACTACACTAACGTTAAGGCTGAGTGGAATTGATTCCGTGTACAAAATTATTATGTCAAATTGACTTATGACACGTATACAGTTACTCCTTACAATAAAACAAAACACATATTTTATTGCCGACGTGGCAGTTGAAATTTTGCTAGGACCAATGATTCACATAAGCCAACTCTGAGATCTTCACTGAGGAAAGGACGAAATTTATAAAGAATTTTCAGGCGATAAAAGCAGCCTCTAACAACCTCCAGTGCGTGCCTTTCAAAACGTAGGTGAGAATCAAAAATAACCCCAAGATTTCTTGCCTCAGAGACCATCTCAATTGTCTGATTGTTTATCAAAATTTGAGGTTTAAAATCCACAATATGAGAAACTTGCTTCCGTGAACCCAAGATCATAAATTTAGTTTTATGAGGATTTAACACTAGACTATTTTTATGTGACCATTGACATAAATTCCTTAGATCATCATTCACTCTATCCACTGCACTAACAGTGTCACGAGGTAGAAAACTCAAGTACAACTGGACATCATCTGCATAAATGTGATACTGACAGTTTTTTATGCTTTCAGTGATATCTGCGCAATAAATAATAAATAAAATCGGGCCAAGTATAGATCCCTGAGGAACGCCTCTACATAGAGCACGACATTCAGAGAAAGAGACCGAGCCATCCACGTTTCTCACCTCAACTATTTGCTTACGATTAAGGAGATAGTTGTGAAACCAGCGAACAGCAGCAGGGTCAAAACCATAATAGGACAATTTAGAAAGAAGTAGAGGTATATGCAAACAGTCAAAAGCTCGCGAGTAGTCGAGAAGTACCAGAAGAGTGCCCATACCTCTATCCTGGCCCGACAAAATATCGTCAACTACACTAAGAAGTGCAGTAGATGTGCTACGTTTCTTACGGAAGCCGGACTGAACCTGAGGGAGCAAACAGTTCAATTCAAGAAACTTTACCACCTGAATGCTAACTACCCTCTCAACGATCTTGGATAGGCAGGACAAAATACTTATTGGACGCAGGTCACTGACATCAACAGGACTAGAATTTTTAGGGATAGGTTTAATCAGAGCAGTTTTCCAGAGATCAGGAAATCGGGCTTCGGTCAAAGATTTATTTACAATTGATGTTATTGCACTAAGAGACTGTGGCAAAGTCATCTCTAACATTTGAAGGGAGATCCCGTCTATACCCACTGCATTGGAATGAAAACTTTGGATTATATTTGCAACCGTTTCCTCAGTTGCAAGAGAAAAAGAAAAAGTTGCTGCTTTGTGTCTATGGTGCTCATAAAAAGTAAGATCAGAAATAGTGGTAAAAGGTGTACCTGGGATATTTAGAAAATGGTCATTTATAACATTCGGATCAAAACTTAAACTTGGTATATTATTTTTATTATTACTTATAATATTTTTTTTTAGATTTTTCCATAACAGCTTTGGTTTATTTATATTTTTATTTATGTGCCTTCAAAATAAGATCTCTTCTCTTGGTATATAGCATCAGTGACAACAGACTTCATCTCTTTATAGAAATCCTTATGAGACATACATTTTGTCTTCTTCCATTTAGCATGAGCCCGATCCCTAATTCTCATCATCTGTATAACAGTATCAGTGATCCACGGATGAGATTCCTCTCTGATAATAACAGTTTTGTAAGGAGCATGTAGCTCAAAAAGCTGGATTACCATAGAATTGAAAGCTCCAACCATTGA